TGATTGATTGATTGATTGATTGATTGATTGATTGATTGATTGATTGATTGATTGAGGGACTGAATAAGCTGACTGATCTTACTGACTAATAGACTAATTGACTGCTATTGAAAATAGAGCGGATTTCAATTTTGTCGTAAAACCAAAACCAGAACCAATTACTTACCACTATTCAGCCAGTCTCAAACCGTAGTAAGACCAAAACCAAAATCAAAGAAATAGCCTGATTACCTTCTACACTCAATTGAAAACCACTCTACTGATGCATTATAATTAGTTTAATGTTAGGACTGTTTTGTTTTAATTTTTGCAGTTCAATGCAGTGATTCTGATCCACCAATGTGGAAATTAGAAGATATGGTAAGTTGACAAGCCTATTCATTTTCTTTATTTACTTAGAGTAGAATACCTCTGAGCGCATTACTAACCAAACAAATACAAAAATCAAAAACAGTGGTGATTGTACGCGCGCGTTTTCCCACCTTTATCGTCCATTAAATATATATATAGATATACACTGCATGACACAAGATTTTATCGTTTTGTGATTGGCTATTGAATTGGTGTTATTTTTGAATTTGGATTTACGATATTCCATTCTACTAAGATACTGAATTAGTTGTTTTTTTCAGTGCTACATATCCTTATTGGTAATAACCATCATTGTACGCACCCTTCGTTCAGAGAATACTTCCAGTTTAGGCAGAAAATCACTTTGTCAGAGTGAAACTACCGGGCCACTGTCACAAGCCAAATTCTTTTGTTTTCTTTTTTTTGGTGGGAAAGGGAATAATTAAGTATGAAAGGATTTCTCTAAATTTTTTGAGGCAGAAAATAAGTGCAAATTACATTCAGGACGGGACGATGTCGAAACAACCGTTTTGCTTGAGTGAAATTGTCTGGGATTTTCAGTTTTCCATGAACATGCATGTAGAACGTTCGTCCTTTTGAAAAACTAAAGATTGAGTTTAGCGTCGACGTCGAGACGATTCTACTCATAGCAACCTCTTAGCAGTTTCTCCGTGGAATAATGTTGCTCGCCTGGAAACGTCCACAGAGATAAACCTTATAATAATTTTAGATTTGCCAATGTCTACAGTAGCCCAGCCAATTCAAGGTTGTATTCTTTTTTCGTCACTTTGACCGTGGTACAGAGTGAGAGCCACTTTAATTTTCCAAAAAGTAAGTGTTTGAGCCTTGGTAAACCACATATATAGTCAACTTGAATTGTGATATGAAAACCAAAATGGTGGCTATCATGACTGAATAGGGTCTATTGACTTCCTATTGACTTAGGAATCACGGTGGAAAGGTAAAATACAAAGTTTTGTTGCAGTGTGTTACTGCTTTTGCATGACATCACAGTCATTTCACGGTATTACTCAAAGGCTCGATGTACATGTCTCCATAGCAACAAAAATCTGCGACAAATCAAAATCTTCCCTACAATTTCACAAAATATCTCCTGAAAATCTAATCCAAAATTGTCCAATTAAGCCTAAATTCCGTTCGTAAGGAACTGAAATAAACGAAAAAAGAAAATAAAGAGAAAGTAGCCTTTTTCCTTGCGATAATTCACATGTAATACCGTTTAAATCCTCACTGAGATAGTGGTTCTAACAAGAAATGCCAAAATTTGGTTAGCAGCGATTCCATTCGTTTTCGTTATCTTAACTCAATTCCACGTATCAATATCTCTCAGACTTCAGAATGTTATTATGTAATGCGGGCTTTTCAAGTTTTCCTTTTTGAATTCATGTTCAAACGTTTCGTGCTCAAGTGCCCAGCCTTCGACGATTTTTTGCCTACCAGTGCTGATGTGGCGCTTCTTTCGACAAAATGAGTCATTGACTGTTTTATTTTGATTGCTCAAATATCGTTGGAAACGTCACCGATTTAGCATTAAGTTTTTACTTTTCATTTTTATTTCTCATTTCCTATAAAGAAAAATCTGCGAATTGCGTAGATTTTAGTCATTTGTCTTGCCGGAGAAATGAAGAAAATATAGATTGCAGATGTGGAATAATCGTATCGATTGATAAAATAACAAATGTTTGTCGGACGTAAGAAAATACTGAAGCAGCAAAAGCAAGGACAAAAATGTTAGTATTTCTCCTCACACATCATGTAAGATAATTAACATAAAAAAGAGAATTTGCTTTTCCAGACAAGCACCTATTGTTAGAAGTGTATCTATTATCCACCCCCTTCATTTTAGCCAGGTTGCATTAAAATTTCAAAGAAAGCTTGAGAAGCAGAGCTTTTAAGATTTCTTGGGAAGTTAGTTTCCTCATGTTTTTGCAGCAACGATTGAGGTCCTCGTTTTTGTTTGTGTCATGACTGTGGTAAACTGCCGATATCTACGTTTCTCAGCATGAATGGTTGCAAAGTCCAAGAAATTTAAAACCATGCGACTATTCAAACACAGGCACTACAAGGGTAATACAAAATTTTAATACGTTACGCCTCGCCTCGCCCGTCAAGAGTGAATTTTTCCAATACGCTATATCGTAATGTTGACGTGTGCAAAAATGTTACAGAGCTGTTTCTGTCATATGCTAACGTGTGAATAAGATGTGCACGCCTTGGTACAGAATTTCTGTTCTTTTGGAATTGAACGCGACATTACGCGATTTAAATTATCGTTTGTCTTTATTCATTTCTATATTTCTTAATATATTTTTTTTACCTTCTTTTGCAGGAGTGAAGCAAGTTTATCACGCCATTAAACTTCAGTTGTAGACTGTAATTTTGGTATAATAAAGCTAAGATCTCATCGTGGAATAATTTTCTTGCTGAATACGGACAGATGTATTTAAGAAAGAACCCGAGAACACGCCGGGCATTTGTTTAGGTTAAAATGCATCGGGGCAAGAATGCAGAAAGTCTTGACTGCGAAAATAATTGTGTCCGTCATGTTTCTTGTTTGTATTTATTCAAAAAATTCTAAGTCATTTTGCTAGTAACTGCGCTCTTGCATATGGAAAAAAGTGTGCGCTTTTAACAGTGCCCGGAAATTTTTCAAAAATAAACGAAGTCTTTTGGCGGGAAAATGGTATGCGCTTTTAACGGTGCCTGGAAATTTTTCAACAATAAACTAAGTCTTTTAGCGGGAAAAAAGTCTGCGCTTTTAGATGGAGTCTAGAAATTTGTCAAAAATAAACTAAGTCTTTTGGCGGGAAAAATCTGTGCGGTTTGCATTCAGATTTGGCCCATCAAAAGCCAGCCTTTATTTTGACTTGTTACTAGACCCTGTTTAAAAGTGCAGAACGTTTTTCCGCGTCGGCAACCCTACATAGTCAAAAAATAGTAAAAGAGATAGCCTACATTCCGACTAGTTTCCAGGCCCCTTTAAAAGCGCGCATTTTTTTATTAAGTGGTACAAGACTCATTTGTTAATTACAATATTTCTTTATTTCATTTCAATAAAGTCTCAAAATGATAACTGATTTACAAGTTGTGATCTTTATTGTTTGCAAACTTACAAGTGTGAAAACTGTTTAACCAACTACTATAGTCAATAGATGCAGAGCAATTTCAAGAGTCGTGAAATTTCTCTGTATCTATCGATCATAGTAATTATTTAGAACAGTTGACAATTATTACTAAGTCTGAAAAATATCTAAGAACTCATTACAACAATCAAAGGAAAAAACCAAGTACCTAGAATTCAAAACTGAAATTAAAGATTCAAGTAAAAATTTTTCTCGTTTCTACAAACAATGTTTACTGATAGGTGGAAATTATTGTGAAAAAGACTTTTTCCTTTCGCCAAAAATACTTGTCACGAATCAGGTCATATTTATTAGAATAATGTTCTAGATTTACGAAATAACTGAAGCCAAGAAATAATCCCCAAACAAAAGCGAACGTTTGAAGAACAAGTTTCGAATGAAAAATACACCGCCTTGCGGTTCTGAAAAAAAACTTGATAAGATTGCTAATTTACTCAAGGCGCTGAGTATAAACTAAACGCGGACCCATGCAAAGAAACCACACCAAAGTGTTACAGTTGTTAAAATAACAAAACAATTTTGCGAGAAATTCAGTGTTGGCTTCAAGAATAACTATACAAAAGTAAAATTTAGTAAATTAAGTTGCCTGTATCAGGATACTTCTTTCACTGCGTACTTTACTGTAAACTTTTGACACTTGAAATTTACATATAGTTTTATGGCCGACAATGAAATTGGCTCCTGGAGAAAAAATGCGGCGAGATCTTTTATGAACATCCACAATTCATTTCGCCGTTAAATAGAAGACCACATTAACTCGCAAAATTTAAGTTAAGTTGCCTGAACGACGACGAATTTAGGACTCTGATAGAGAAAATAAACGTGCAGCGAGACTTTTATAAACGTTTAAAATTAATTTTCACCGCAAAATTCCAGACGAATTAAATCGAATTACCTTAAAAAATTTACATACAGTCTCATGGTCGATAATACAATTGGGTCTCTGGAGGAAAGAAATACGGCGAGATATTTTTGAAAAATTGACAATTAATTGTGCCGTAAAATAGGAGGCCAAGTTAACTCGAAAAATTCAGCCAAACTTGCATGAACAACAACAAATTTAGAACCTATAGAAAAAAAAGATTGGAAATATTCACAGTTGATTGTGCCTTAAAATGAATAAAGTCTCTAGTTAACAAAACATGAGTCCGCGCGCTGCCAATTTTGAAATCTTAATTCTCCTTACAGATTAGCCTACATTTCTTTTAAACTAATTGTGAGAATTTGATCGTACATCAGGGCAATATTCTTTAGTGTAAGTCTTGTCACCTACACTGAATTCAGTGTTTGTTGGACGAAATTTTATGTCCCAATTGTTCTTGGAAATAATAGACTTAATATTGTTTCTGTACAATTAATTGTTCTTTACCTAACGAGCCACAAACAAAGTAAACCATATGAGTTAGACTCTTCATCTTGTCTAAAGACATCTGGCGTCCACCAGGATCCATGATAGCATAATCATCTATGAGGATATCTTGGCCTGTGTCCTAAGTTCATGTTGAGCAAGGAGTCACACTGCAGAAAAATAAACCCATTCATTTTAGCAATGTATTGCCTTCCAATTCAGG